TTTTTTTTTACCCACTGTTTTATTTGAATCAATTACTCAAATGCAATTACAAATTTTTAGTCTTATGCTATATAGTATATCTTCAACCCAAATAAAAAAATATGCTATATAGTTTTTTTGAAAAAACCACTCTTATGTCGAGGACTGGAGAGGGAAATTATGTGTGATAAATTATAATATTTTCAACGTAATGCTACAAAAATTAGTGTCCATTAGATAAAGTTATTCTAGATACCAAAATTAACGTGATTTGCTAAAAAATTTCATGGCCGCACACAGTGCGGGACGATCACCTAGTTTCATTGTAAATACTAATATTTACATTTTTAGAAGAAAAGAAAAACTTTTAGCTTTATCAAATAGAAGTCAGATGATCATTAGGCCTAGCGATAGGTTTATGTGCATAAATGATATGCTACATTTTCGGATTGCAACTATTTCAGTTTTATTGTGCACATTTGATTTTTCTTTTCTTATCAATTTTATGATTATATTGTGTTTATCTTTACGTAAAAAATGTGAGTCATCCAAAGTAAAATACCATTCATTACTAATATTATATCCAATGTTTTTAAATCTGGACTGGACCGCAAACTAGATTAAATCGTTGGGTTAGATTAACTTGAAATCCAGATAGAGTTAAACCGGTTATATAACTGGGTCGAACCGATAAAAATCAGAAACCGACGATCCAATTGAATCACATTATGTTTAATTATTTTGTTCCTTAACAAAATTTCCCTTTTTAGTTTTTGGTTAATTTTTTTTTTTTGTTACAGTAGGGTTTATAAAGCTAATGAAATTTACACTTCTTAGAGTTACATTTCTCTTTTTATTTTTTCTTCTATATGACTAAATCACCGGAAATACTAGAATTGATTGGTTTTCAATTTTTAAAGTGTTTTTAATTATTTGATATTCGGATCATAAACATAAATAAAAAAGAGTATAAGCCTATAAGGTCAAAAGTTGATATACTAACATTTTCAAAATATCATGAAATCCGATTGAACTCGCTCGACCTATGATCCAAAAATTTATCTGATTCCATCGCCAGTCCGGTTTTAAAATTGTTGTTTAGATCCTATAAGACTTCTATAGTTTGGTATTCCTTAAAACTTTTTGCAGTTGCGTCGTTTTAATTAGGGTTAGAAAAGGTAACTTACTAGTTACGTGTTCTAGGGTGATGGATTCTCATTTTCTTACGCAATTGTTTCTAACCATTTGTTATATCATAACTTTTAAGCATTTTAGCGATAAGTAATCCCGCTGAAATGGACGAATAAGAATCTCGAGTTTTTTTTTTAATTCTTCACATCTCTCTCTTTACGACCAAATATATTGAAATGTAGAAATAGTTAGAATAAAAGAAGATGGTAGTTGGTTTTGATTATTGCAACGACGACAAAGATTAATTAGCATCTAGAATTCAACCAAAATATATAAGAACTGTATAGTGGAATAATATTATAAACTTCTGAAAAAAGAATTTATATACCACCTGATTAACCAGCTACATCTACACACACCTATATATATATACATACGAATAGAACCTATTAATTTGGAGCACCAAACGAAACTAAGTTGTATTCCAAACACAAAAAAGTGCAACATTCATAATCATAAATCATAATCATCATTTAGGGGTAATTAATGTCTGTGGAACTTCCGGTGTTTGACATTTCAAAGCCTCTAAGCGAGTCATCGCTGACGTCACTACAAGATGCGTGTAAGGAGTGGGGTTTCTTCTACGTTACCAACCATGGCGTCTCCGGCGATATGTACCAGAAACTACGACGTTTCTCCGGCGGAGTGTTCGGGCTCCGAGATGAGGAGAAGATGAAGATGTGTGCCTCTAATTACACTCCTCGTTTCATTGCATCTCCTTTCTTCGAAAGCCTCCGTGTCTCCGGTCCCGATTTCTACGCTTCGGCCAAATCTTCCGTTAATGCCTTTTCCGATCAAGCTAAGGATGACGAGTTCAGG